CTGATTGTGTTTCCACTGGTGGTTTCAGCTAAAGCTCTTGTATCAGTTGTGGCTTCATCAGCTGTATACAACAAGACAATAACACTCGGGCTGTGGGCACTGGTTTGTTGTGGTCATGGCTGGTTAACCATAAGGGCTACAACCTGAAGAAGTGAGCTGTGTACACCCTAGTGTCATGGTTCTATGTTTTTGTGACTCCGTGACACCTAGACATAAATTAGCCAAATAAATCCAATACATTTCTTGGTCCATCCTTTAGAATGCCCTTATTTAAAGAGTTTGTGGCAAAGGGTGCCAAATTAGAGCACTGCTTCTGGTGCTGCTTCTGGTGTGTAAAATAGGCCAATGTGACAGCCTGTTTTATTTTTACTATTCAACTTAATCATATCAACTCACCTGGTTTAACATGCCAACAAAACTCCTCGGGACAAAAACCTGTGACCGAAACAGTCATTAGGAGTTAACTGTAGAAAGCAAAACAAAAAAATGTGCATCGTGAAATGTGTTAAAACCCAGTTATTCATCATCGTCTTCATATGATAAATAAAGTGGAGGAGGAGTGCTGTCAGCAGCTAGTAATCACATAATTCAGCAATCCTCGGTGATGCTAAAATAGCAAGTCAAAGATACAGGAGGCGATATGCACAGCTCAGTGCTGCAACCCCACTCTCAGCTCCTAAAATAAGTTTGTAAAACAGGGGCAAAGATGATTTGCCGGAGATCTCCAGACCGCACACTGCTCAGGCAGCTTTGTATTTCACATGTCCCTTGCTGCCCATCCATGCAGAATGAGGAGCACAGTCATGCCCAAGCTCTTCAAAGCTTCCAGACCCAAGGTCAGGGTGCTGCAAGCCTGTCCACACCTAACCATCCTCAGCAGGCTCCGCAGGTTGTTTCCTGATACCCTGCCCTCTTTGTTTGGGACAGACAAAAGCCCCAAGATTTTACCTTGTGTGTTGCACCCAACACACAAACAAAAATGAGAGATGCACCAGACTTACTCAGACCTGTTTTCCTGTGTCTTAAACACAGACTCTTTCAAAGAGCTGACAAGCTTTGAGCATTCTGTCAATTCATAAAGTGCAGCAATCTTTAGGTTTCCCAGTTCTGTAATGGTTACCTGAAAGGGACCTTTGGGCAAGATGTCACTGACTGTATACTGACTGCACACAGCCATCTGTCTTTACCAGTGACTGCAATTCACCCATTTTCAGGGTGTTCTCATTTGTCTTCACTGTAACTTTCACCCCTTTTCAGTCTTCTGATTCATGCAGCTGATCAAAAACACCAGGAGAGCTCAAAAACTTCACTGTTCATGTTACTCACAACTTGGGATGATGGCCTAATTTTATAAATCAATGTTTCATTAAAACAGAAACTTCAATTGCTATAATGCATTTTTTACCTACACAACTTCTAAGTGAATCTAGGGATACGCCACTTATTTTCACCCGTCTGTTGTGGGAGTTAGAGGGACTGATCCATCTGAAAGCCATCCATATAAGACTATATACATACACATATATTTTCAGCCTGAACTTCCGATTGCATGAGCCTATGAACAACTGCAAAGAAGAGACAGGATTATGACAGCTGTCAATTAGATTTCTATGGAATTCTGTTGCAAGGTGTAAATGTCAGAAGTCTCTGCACTGCTCAGGGATAGATGGTGAAGTCCTTTGCGAAGACAAACAGTGACACCATGGAAAGTACTGGTGGTCCTGGTGAGAAATTCATACTTCTACTCTGAGGGAAAAGAAGTCAGTGTGATTTCTCTTACAAGAATAAATGACTTTTTTCTTTATCTTTTTGAAGCAGTTCCTGTATTGTTCTGAGTACCTTCAGTCCGATCATATTTTCTGTGATATATGAGATTTCATTTTTGAGGTTTATGAATTTTTAACAATTACTTGATCTTTTCTTGTTCTCAATATGCAGTAACCTTGTATTTTAATTTGGTAAGGTTTTTTTTTAAGTTGAAAAAGATGGATCTTATGTTACAGTGGCTTTATTTACAGAAGTTGCGTTCATAAAAATAAAATATTTTTCTTTTATGGCTTGTGCAGTGCTGCCAGCAATAGATTGGACAGAGTCTCGTCTGTAGAGTATTAAATCACCTTAAAACAAGTAGAGTTAACTTTCTTTTATTGCTTTCAAATTGCCAAATAACTTGCACAGGTCTAACAGAGAGAACTTGGTACCTGAGTTGAAGTGTGACATTTTTCCAGTAACGCCGTAGATAGCATAGATAAAATTACTTTTAAAGATCATCTAGTGCAAATGTGGATAGCAGAAGCTTCATATTTAATCAGAAGCAAGTATAATACGGAGAGAGTTGGTTTTTAAATATTTTTTCAGAACTAATTCCTACAGCAGAGGATTTTGTCAGCTCAGTTGACAGACAAGTCCAGTAATCTTTGTGTTCTTTTTAGCTCTGATCAGGGTTTAGAAGTGTTGTCTGGCTTTTACCCCTTCATCTGCATCTGCATTATGGTTGTGCAAATTTTCTTCCAAGAACTTCTCAAACAGGTGTATTGTGAATTGATGCAGATTTTTTGTTGAGTCTGCTCTGAAGTTTGTGTTGCAGCTACCTATCCTACAGTAGAGCATGGGAAAAAGAACAGAAGTGTGCACTTTGAGATTTATTCCTGCACTGATACTTGAATTTTCTTTCCCTTCTCTCACATTGCTTCATTTAATTGTTTCTGTAAGAATTCAGATGGATGCTTTGTGCTAGCATGTACCTGATAACCATCAGCAATAAACTGTTGCTATTTTCCTAGTTGTTGGGAGAGTTGCAGAGGTGCTCCTCATAGAGTATTTCCCTTTATACTACTAAAAGGGTCAGTGGATAACTGATGTCCTGCTAACTTATCACATTTCCATGTACTGTATCCAAGATTAGACATTCTGCTTTCCATATTGTAGCTTGGATTTAATTATATTAAATGGCTGTAGTAGTTTGAGAATAAGTGGAAGGAAAACAATACGTCTCTGTAATGCATACAAAGATAAAAATGACTTGAGATAGAATTCAAAAATACACACGGGAAACACTTTAGTTTTATTCATGATATGCATCAACTCCTAAACTTTACACTTGCAATGCTGAGATCTGACTCTGTGCAAAATTTGTCACATATTTGTGACATATAGGAGTGCACACATCACATTCCTCACTCTTGTCCTAAAATGCACTAAAGCTTTCATTGTGACCTCATTGACAGTCATGTAGAGGTCTGTTAAGGATTAATGTATCTGTAGTCTGCAATGCCATAGATTCTTTCTCACAAATGAATGCTGATGGAAGACTAGAGTGCTATTTTCCCAGCTCCTGTGCCTGTAATATTTGCTAGGAATTGAGCAAGAACTTTTGAAACACATTTTGAAGTTTGTGTGTATTGACCCTTAATATTAAGTTATTTAAATAAACTTCTAAACTGTCAGTACTTTATTCCCCCTAAAGTGCACAACCTACATTTCCATGTGCAAATGGACATTGTGCTGTAGAGTTGGTCACATAGTGATAAAAGTATATGTGGCTTTGCATGGCTGTTGTTTGCTTGACACTTTTTGGAATGTTAACATCTCCATGTCTGCTTTAGCAAGAAATGTTCCAGGATGCAATCCTTCTTCTAGAGTGGAGCAATGACCTTTCCACCATTTTAATGTATCTCTTTACTTTTTTTAACATTAGCAGGTTAGTAAGGCAAGTACAATTCTGCTTTGCATTAGGTTTTATATTTCAAGATTTTTTTTTTTTTTTTTTTGAGACTTTTTGAGTCCTATTCTTTGCAATGAAGTAAAAAGTGTGACAAGAAGGTGTGATTTTTAATTTACACCAGAGTTCTCAGCAAATAATGACTTTTCACACCCTGTTATTGCTGCTTAGCCTGGGGGAGGAGTTGTATGGCTACTGTTGTCATATCAAATTAAATCCACTTTTGTAATTCAGCAAGACATTCCCCTTAAACTTAACCCTATAAAGTCGCTGAAGTGTACCAGCATAATCTGAGTGTGTCTGTCGTGGGGATCTCTGCTGTTGAAGGGAAATGATGCTGTGCTACTAATTTTTTTTTCTTGGTAGTTCAATGGAGTAGGTCCCGCTGAGGTTTGCAAGGGTTTACAAATGTTGCTCTGACAGCAGGTCCAGGGTGTGTGCAGACATAGAATCATAGAATCCTTCGAGTTGGAAGGGACCTCTGAGAGCCACCTAATCCAACTCCTCTGCAATGCGCAGAGGCACCACAGCTAGATCAGATCCCCCAGGGCCTGATCCAGCCTCACCTTGAAAGTCTCCAGGATGGGACACCAACCACAACACTAGGTAACCTAGGAGCTGGTAAACCAGGTCGTGTTTTGAGCATGAACACGTTTTGAGCAAGGAAGTACTTGGCTGACAATTTCAGACAGGCATGTTCACATCTGAAAAATCTTGCCTGTATGATTTGCTGTTGCCTGAGGAATGAGACCAGAGGCTGCCAGTAGGAGCTGTTCCCTCCCCGCTCCGTCAGCTTTAGTTCTTCTAATTGTCGTTAATTGGCCGTTAAGTGTTTGCCTGGCTACTTATTGGTTGTGCAGAGGGACTTAATGTGCCTGATGTTCTATAAGCACTCAAGCGACAGACTTTTATCCGATGTTTCTGGTTGTCTTCGTGTCTGTGTGTGTCTTTCTTTAAGATATCAACCGTTTCCCGATGAGCGTGGTGGTGGTGAATTTCACACCTTTTTTTTTTCCTCTCTGTATGGAAACCTGGGTGTTAATGGTGCTGGAGCGGGTCGTGTTTTATAAGGAATGAGGCTGTCTCTGGGAGCAGAGGGAAAGCAGCGAAAGGAGAGGAGGTGAAGAGAGATTCAAGGAAGCTGCCATTCGCGACAGGCATTAGTTGGATTATCCTCACTTTTTTTTTTTTTTTTTCTTTTTTTTTTTTTTCTAGTTCAGCATGAAAATTGTTTTCTCTTTTCGCTTCCCAGTGAAACTTGACTGTGCAGCACCTAAAGATGGAAAGTTGGTCTGTGGAGCAAGTCTGCAACTGGCTGACACAGAGCAATTTAGGAGAACTAGTTCCTAAGTTTCGCGGTAGGCATTCTTGCTATTCCTGTGTCTTTTATCTTTTTAGATGTTTTCAATTGTCTGCTTAACTCGTTTTGGGGCTGGCATCCGTGTAATACATCTAAAATAACTGCAAGTTCGTTATGAGGTCTTCGAGGAGCGCTGGGGGGAAAGTCTAAGGCTGTTGTAAAGAGAAGCACTTTCTCTCGAGAAACAGCTGGCAGTGCAACAAGCTTTACAGGGCCTATTTTATACTGCTACAGTTGCGTTATTTCAGAGGGTGCATGCTCTAAAAGTGTTTGTGTACATAAACCCTATAATAGTGCAGGGGAAACTGTTAGAAAACGTTTTGTGTGCTGTGTGCTCCTTGCACTTCTTCATTATGAAAATGGAAAAAACAAACAAACAAACAATCTGGTACCATCAAAATAAGGTCTGATTTTAAGCAGTGTAATACTAATTGCATTTCAGACATAGCATTCTCTTACTGGAAGGTAAGAGAACACTGGACACTGACTTGAGCTTCCAGCATTGGAAAGGACAGTACCTAAAAGACATCATTTCTTTAAAGCAGTTGAAGAAACACACCGTTAGTAGAAAGTATCTTTGACTCTGACCTAAAACACCATCAAGTTTGTAGGCATGTGGGATGTCTCTGTAGCTCCAAAATTACCTCACAGTGATTGTAATCCCCTTCAATCTGCAGAAGAAGAAGTAAGTGGAGCAGCTCTCTTGGCTCTGAACGATCGTATGGTGCAGCAGCTGGTGAAGAAGATCGGGCACCAAGCAGTACTAATGGACCTGATTAATAAATACAAGCAACAAAAACATGGGCTACAATCCTTTGCATATGCCTGCAAAGCAGATTTGCCAACTCTTCCAGAGATCAGTGTGTGAGTACATGCAGAAAACATCGGTCTGATTGAAATTATTCTTTCTGTAGTATTTTAGATCTGATATTTACTAGCTCTACAGCTGTAACTTAAAAAAAGAAATCAGAATTATAAATGTAGACTCTGAATGATCTCTAACAGCATGTCAAATGTGAACAGTTATTACCACATGAGCATCAACATTGCTGAACACTACCATTAGTTTAACCAGTTCTGGCCCTAGAACCCAGTTTTAACTTGCACAAAGTGTTATTGAACTCCTGAACTTTGACTTTAGCTGAAACTTTCTGTATTTTCTGTATTAAGTTTTTGAGGCAGTTATTTCCAAACATTCTTTGAACAAAGTCCAGTAAGAATGGCCTCATTTAAGGACTTCTGACTGGAACACTATGTAGGAAATGTTTTGTTGTAATTTCTTTACTATGAGAGTGGTGAGGTGCTGGAACAGGCTGCTCAGAGAGGTTGTGGATGCTCCATCCCTGGAGATGTTCAAGGCCAGGTTGGATGGGGCCCTGGGCAGCCGGGTCTAGTATTAAATGGGGAGGTTGGTGGCTCTGCATGTGGGAGGGGGGTTGGAGATTCATGATCCTTGAGGTCCCTTCCAACCCGGGCCATTTTGTGATTCTGTGATAACATAATAATTTCACTCTCTCTGCACAAGAAACAGAAATTCATAGACCCACAGCATTCATTAGATTGCATTTTGTGTTGCTTTGTGATGTAAGGCCGAATTTCAATTTTTACTGGATGAGCATTGTTACCACATGAATGTTTCCTGAAAGTATCACCTATGGCTGAGTCTGCAGTCCCACAGTGACAGTGGGGCCTGAGTCCACATGAAAATAAACTACCTTGTCCGTCCTGCTGCTGATCTTTCCAAGATCTGTCAGCTGTATTTCCCTGACATTTTTTTCGTAAGTGCTATCCTAGTGCATGAGGGTGCACTACCACTTGCCCACTTCTTCATCCTGTCCTCAGTGCATCTTCCATCTGTGTATGAATTGAGTTTAGTTCAATTCCTTTCCTAGGAACAAAATCAAAGCTGTTAACAGGACATAGTTCCAAGTGCAGTTAGTGAATGCTTTCTGTATAGTAGTAATGGTCTTGTAAAGAATCACCGAGCCTGATTTGCATTTCCAGCAGTTTGGATTAAGACAATTAGGAAATCAGGATCTTGTGTCCATCACTGGAAAGGTGAGAAACTTCTGAGTCAAACAGAAGCTGTTCATGTATGTATGAGAAGCTCATACAGAGACATTACCAAGTAACTGTAAAAAATGCCTTGGACCTCCAAGTGTGATTGAAGGCAGAAGCCACTGAAGGATTGTATTGGATTTCTCTGATTTTTAACTGGATGACTGGAAACATGCATGACTTAGAGATGCATTGATTCATGAAAAAGGGAAACTCCAACGGCAATGTCTCTTACAGCAACAGCATTTCATGTGAGTGTAGTTGAGGCTGGAACAGTTTACAGAGCATTCTTGTAGTTCAGAGTTTCCGAAGAGAAGAGTCATAGAAAAAAGTTACGCCTTCCCAAAAGAAAAGTGTCATAATTTGTGGAAGATCCAGTGTATCAGTACAGTTTTACTCTTTCCCTAAGACAAATTCTAGTGATTCTCAGAGAGGCTTTAGCAGCAGCGCTTAAAGTAGTGAAACTGGTAATAATGTTGCATTGGTGGCTTCATCCAGAAAATTTTGTATGTGGTTCAGTTAATGACTGGAGAATAACTCGTGAATTTCATAGTAGAGTGAATCTGTTGATGGACATCTTGTTGTACATAATGTATAGTTGATGAAGAACATCTGTTATCCTGTCTCCTGCTTATACATAGCTTTAACTTTGGTGGGGCAAACTATGGTGAAAATAAAAAATCCAGGGAAGCGGGGTGCCTGTAGCACCTACCTAACAAAGTCACCAACTTCTTCAGATCTATAACTCAAAAAAAACAAAACAAAACAACAACAACAAAAAAAAAACAAAAAAAAAAAAAAAAAAAAAAAAAAACAAAAAAAAACAAAAAAAAACAGCTGTAAGCTGTCATTATGCTGGCAGCATTACAACAGCCCCTGTATTACAGGATAAAACTGTCAAATGTTGCTTCCTATCAGCACAACAAGAAGAAATAACAGCAAAGTGAGGAGGGGAGAGAGGAGGATGCAAAGGTGAAATTGAAGATAAATGGTTTGGAGTAGGGATTTCCGGCATGTAGTGAAGCAGGTATAGAAGTTTTTGGAGCAAGTCACTAGCTGAAATTGGAGCGAACAACCAGGAACAGACAGATGTGAGACTGGGTAGTGTTCACAGAGGTGTTAGGATGGTTGGAGTAATGTAAAACTGATTCAAAGGTTCAAGATGGGCTTAGCCTTCAAGAAAAGAGAAAAAAGAGGTTCCAAAAGCTGAATATGAATTGCTACTGAATACTCTGCAATTCCCTTTCTCTTCCCTCTCCCCGTGTACAGTATTTGCCAGTTTTGCTTAGTGACTGGAAAATGCCAGGCAATGAAGGTGGCAGTTATCCTGCAAGCCAGAGGTTTATTTTCTTGGATTTTGTTACTGTATAGTAATTAGAATATTGTTAGGCAGTGTTATTGTTTAGTTTTCCTTTCATCTTTTCAGAGTTGGGTAATTGAGCTGAGTTTGATTGAGGGATGGTATCAGCATCATGTATATTCAGAAAAGAGCAGAAGCTGAACTGCAGTAGAATTGATGAGTGAAAAGGTCAGATTAGTCCTTTTCTGTCTTCTATCCTCTGTGCTTGCTCACTAATTTACAGTTACCTTGTGCCAGCAGCACAGTGTGGGTTTGTTTTTATTGGTTAGTTTTAGAAATTCTCTTTTCTCCATATCTTTCAGTAATAATCTTGCAAACTATTCATTACTGAGTGGAATATGGTTATAAGAAAAATCCATGTATTCAAGGTGCTTTAAATACAGTGCTTGGGAAGATAGGCATGCCCATTTCATTTGCAGCCTTATTTTCCTTATATCAAAATGTGCCTCTTTATAATCTGGAAGCAAGATCAGGATTTCTTTTCTCCTGTGAGATGCTCAGCTACTACTGGAGAAAAATCCGGTTTCTCTTTCATAGCAACTGGTTTCTTGTCTGGGAGGCTCTGGCTGCTCACCCCCTTCTGCCCCCCAGCTATCATTTCTCACCCATCTGTCATTCTCCCCCATACACATTGCTGATAGCTTCGCCATTCCAATACAAGTGGTCCTTCCATAGAAGTGTCTATTTTATCACTTAAAATAATAACAAAGAAGTAAGGATAAAACTGTCTGGGAACAGAGAAGGGGGCATAGTGAATCACACAGTCAATGCTTTTACAATAAAATCTTACTATGACCTTCAAGAGAATAAAACTTCAACAAAAAATCCAATCGCAAAGATCTTGCCAATGCAGTTATTAGAGAAACAAGTCCAAATCATTTAAATCCGTGGAACAAAACACCAATATTTCTTGCAGTGATGATTTTTGTCCTCTGCTTCTAAAGGATGCTTATTTTTAATTAATGATGAGTAATTTGCCTTGTGTTGTTCAAAGAGTTTACAGTGCGCTGTCTGAATCAGCCTCACCCAGAATAGGCTGGCTCTGGGAAATGTTCTCAGAGCTGTACTTTCAAATATTCTCAGTACAAAGATTTCAAATGCCCATAATGCTCCGTTAAGAGAAAGGGACTGCAAAAGAGCAATGCAAATTCACCTTGAGGCAAAGAAGCACAAGAGAAGGACAGAAAGGCAGCTGTAAATGGAAGTGCCCCTCCTGGTGAAGTGGCAGAAAATCAGTGGAGCTATGATGATTTATAACCTTGAAGACCCAGGCAAATCATATGAGGGTTTCTCTTAAAGGTCAGATGAGTAGCTGGCAAATGTCTTCCTCCTAAACAGCTGTTTTAATGAAGTGATTAGGTCTGCAGATGGAATTGAACATCCCTGGCATCTAATAACTGCTGCACTAGCTTTATCCCCAGTTAAATGCTATTTTTGGAGGTGAATGCTGCTGTTTAGGTGTGCCTATGACTTGACCCACTGATTAATGTGCTATTTTAGAGTTCTTTTTGCACTCCCAGTACTCCTTCATTGCAGGTTCAGCTACTGATGGAAAATTTCATGTTTTATATTCTTGAGGGAGTAATGCTGGTTATGAACTGGTTGTGAAGAGTTGAACAAGGTGTTTGCTTTAGAAATTTGATTAAGGGAACAGAAAAGGTTGGTTTGACCATAAGGATGAGTTCTTAGTCTAAGGTATAAATGTAATTCCTGCTTTATTCAGCAAATATATATAATCTGGAAACTGATTTTCCACACATTCTCTCTTACACCCAGTTTTAGTCTATGGGTTTACATGCCACGGTAATAGCAGTTTTCTGCATCAGAATAATTAAAGCTATTTTTTGCATTTTGGTATATAATATTAATCTGGTATTTGTTAGATTAACTAGTGGGTTTTCCTTTCTTTTTTTCTCCTTCTCCCCCTCCTCCCATATTGTTTTAAATTTGATATTTTGAAGTCTGTGCATTGCTTGTTTGTCTGGTTTTCCCAATCCATCCCTATCCTCTTCTCTCATCTTAACTAATGGGGAGAGGGAAACTGTGGTGACTGTACAAATGACTCTGTATTGTCTTCTTCCGAAAAGGAAGGGGGATACATACTCATGTCTCACCAGTCTGGCTAGATTTTGAAGAGCAGCTAGGAGCAGTTAAAACTTCCACTCCTCTTTCATGGGCTCTCCCACTTCCACCATTAATCTGGTGGCAGAGCAGTTCATATGAGCAACCCTTCAGACAGTTCTGGCAGGGGTTATGTTAGTTCAGCAATGGTGGTTTAAAAATTCAGTTTGATTGACTTGTAGCTTCTGTCTCCTTTCTCCAATCTGAATGTTGTTCTTGTGGTTTTTTTTGGTTTTTTTTTTTGTTTTTTTTTTTTTTTTTAAAAAAAAAAGACCTGTGAAGTTATAGCTTCAGTGTGGTTTGCTTTAAATGAAATGTGTTCTTT